CAGCGCGTGGAAGAAAAAAGTAAAACTTAGCTTTGATGCCCCAAATCAATATTTGTTAATCATAAAAAAAATTCAATTTCAAACAGCAGGGAGGCATTTTTTAAGTACTTGAAATGAAAGCAAGCGCATACCAAAGCTGCTGCTTGAAGCTAATTTTCAGTTAACATGCAACTGGTCATTAGGCTCCAGCTCTGTGGAGCCAAAGGTCAATAATTGCATCTGGAGGAAAAATCTTTTAACCAAACGGTGGAAGCCTTTTGTGTTGAGGCATTAAGTAGAAAGTTTCCCCGTAATTACATTAGTTGTTTAGGATTGCCCGAGTCTGGGATGAAAAATGAGCTCTGCCATGATTGCTTCTCCGCCACGTCCCTGTCCAGCGTTAACTCTGGCCTTCACACACCAAGAGCCATCTCATTTTGATTCACCTCATGCTTCCTTCCTCCAAATCTGCCAACTGCTTCCATTTGAGTGTCTGTGTCGTTCCTTAACAAGCATTTGTCTTCTATTAAAGCTCGGCGAGAAGCAGGTGATGGAAGTGCTTCCATGCTTTTTTTGTTGCTTGTTTTTCTTGGGCTTTTATTTTTTAATTCTCAGTTGGTCAATCATTCTGTTCACTGAAACAACATCCTGCTGAAGACAACACAAGCAGGATGAAGCATAATGTGCTATTAATGCTAATAGGGGAGCCTTGTCTTTGAATGTCTTGTTCATGGGGAGATTGTTGAGTTTATCTCTACACCAGCAGCCCTGGCATGTTTGTTTTTGTTTAGGCTTAGAGCTAAAGCACAATTTGGCATTTCTGACAGCTAAAAAAAACACAGTATGTCAAAAATGATATATATTTCAAGGATATATTGTGAAAAAACAACTTCGCGATCATGATTAATCGTTAATAACTTAAGAGGTGAATTGCATTTCCAGGTAACACTTTTCGAAGACTTTTACTTAATTTGGATGTTTCTTACATCTTGCACTTCTTTTTTCACCTTTACATCCCCTCCAAACCAACACAATGTGTGTTACTCTTGCTGTTTGGGCTACGCTGCCTCTGTGAGAGCCGTGGATGAATATATGATGCGTGTGCATTACTTGATCAGAATCAACCTTGTGTATTGTTCAGCAGTGCAGTTGCACCACTTAAGTGTGACTGGTGTAGTGAATTGGCCTTTTTGATAATGGGCGAGTTTTATATTTAAAACACTTCTTGTGTTTGTTAGGTCCTGAGAACAGAACTGACAAGCTCTAGGCTCAAGGACGGGCAGTGACCTGTGTTCAAATTTCATTTGGCCTGCGAGACTGCATTTTAAACATTCAGTGACAGGAAAAAAGTCTCACTCTTTATTATTGGAAACAGACTAAAATTTGGTCATCACCAATTAGGGCCAACGTTTAATTTTGTCCTCTTCAGTGGACAGCATTAGCCTAGTGAACTAGACCAAATTCTTGCTTTGCAAAGTTTGGTCTAGGCATGCTCCATTGGAACCTCAGCAGCTCCTACCAGGACTCTGGCTAGCCAATCACAGCTCTCTAGAGGGGTTTCAAACACACAAAGAGCTGTGATTGGCCCATAATGGTGGGCCAATCATAGTGCTCTATCTGCTTAGTGAACAAATCACAGAGCTTTATCCGCTTTGTGGGCCTATCAGGGCACTCTATATGCCTGGTGGGTGGGATGATGCAACAGAGTGAAACAAAGAGTATGTCACATGCATTGTCCAGTGGAATGCGGAGATCATTTGAAAGACAACAGTAGAACCCGCCCCACAACCGAGAGCCGTCAATGGAGCGTGGCCAGACTAAATAATACATTTATTTGGTCTGGCTTGCCAGGCTAGGACAGCATGGCTTCTGAATATGAAATGTTGGCTTAACACACTAGGGTCCAATCGGGGGCTCAAATGCAACAAACAGCTGTGCTTAATAGGGACGTCTCGATACAACTTTGTCACTTGCGATACGATACTGATATTGCAGCCTTCAGTGTTGACCGATACTGATATCAATCCGATACGATATCAGCACAAATCATACATACTTCTACCTATTTTGTAGTGTGGATCGTATGATAGGCTTGATCAAGTGATACTATTCAATTGTAGAACAATTTAATCAACTTCCCTCTGGGATTAATAAAGTCTTTTTGAATTTGAATTGAATTGAAGAGCCAATAACAGTAAGTGTGGAAAAAAAATACATTTTTTTTTTTTTTTTTTTTTACCTTTGGTTGCAAAAATGTGAACCTTAATGGACTGCTTATATCGGAGATTGTTGATGCAGTTCGAAATAATCCGATACACTGTTTTTGGGCTGATATTGAACTACTTCCGTCATCAATATCGGAACGGGACATCCCTAGTGCCTAATAGCAAGAAAACAATTTTGAGTAGCTGTCCACTGTAGTGACTATTATGCATGAAATTACTTAAGTACCTCTGTCTGCTCTTGACTCAAAGAAAAGCCCCAAACTGATGCCGTTTCAAACAAGCCAACGCCATCTTGGTTTTGCTCAGTCGCAGTAACATCCTATCCACCAGAGTGCTGGGATTTGACTGCAAAGGATGTTATTCAGCGGGGCAGTCCGCCATACACTGTCGAACAAGATGCAGCACCCCTTCCACCAGAGGATTGTGACTGGACCAGAGCCAGACTGTCTGGGGCTGCGGAAGTTTTATTGGAGCGTGGCTAGACTGACGGTCTAGATGCTAGGCTAGCTCTTTTACCCATCTGAGCAACTATTTATCATGGCAAATTAATTAAACCTTCACATAGGATTCTAACAGGTGTTTTTTTTTAAGTTTTGTGAACATAATTGGATTTTTAAGAGCACTTTAAGCTCTAACTTCAGTTGACTTTCTGACAATAGCATTTACTTTTATTGGACAAGGAAGTGACATCTTCCTGTTGAGCATAAAGCACGTCAAAATCTTACTTTGAACTACTTAGAGCTAAAGAACATCTGCTTTTTGTGTGTTTTCTTCTACGTATTCTGATTTTTAAGTAAAATATTTATGAAATGTTCTGTGACAATAGTTTGATGCATAAAAACATAAAATATTTTCTTTTTTCTGTAAATATTGTCTGAGATTGTCCTCAGTCTGAAGCAAGTTTGTGTTTTTGATGCTCTGTAATCTGGAGTTGACACCCGTGTTCTAGATCAGTGGTTCTCAAACGTTTTATCTTTAAACACACTAAATCATACTCATTAAGTGTTGCTGGATCCTTATGAGGAATCCCCAAAAGCTAAAAAAATACAACTAAACCACAAACTGCTTTAACTCATGAAATATGCAATCATGACCTTTTGGTATTTTACATTAATTATTACGAAATCATTCTTCTGTGCTGATAGTTTTAGGGCCTCACTCACAATTAGAGTCCGCATTGCTGATTGCTAACTTCTGATGGAAGTGGGTGTGTATTAGGGCTGGGCGATATGACGATTTTAGACCGTTTTACGATCTACACATCTGACGGTCTTTCATTTTTGAGAGACCTTTTTATCACGATTCACAGCTCTGCTGATGAATTTCTGCCTCTGAATGAAAAGGGAACTTACCCCAGGCGAATGGCACGCCTTTGTTTGACCCTTAACCAATCAGAGTGAGTCATAGTAATATATTAGCGCCCCGCTTGTTTTCATTTGTGTGTGAACAAACATGACTTCACCGCGGCTGAGCGACAACGAGGTTTTCGTTCCGAAGAGGAACGCAGGGTTTCCTTAGCGCGCGGCGCTAACAACTTAGTGACGTGACATGTCTCGGAGAAAGCGTAAAAACACGTTGGACGCTTCTTCTGAAGCAGGAAAATAACACCGCTTCTTAAGCAGAGCACGACGTCACCTCGGCTCGTCCACCCTCTGCCGAGCCGGTGTCGGTACCGGACTGAGCTCGGTCACTGGGTCGTTTGAGCTGCCCCGTGACTGCCTGATGGAAAACCAGCGGGTTTCATCAGACTCGTAAAGTTTTTTTGTTTTTGCTGGGGACCCCCTGTATTTTACCGCTCCCTCCTGCAGTCTTCCCCTATTACAATTTAAAATGATTCTGTAAACTCCGTGTATCAATAGAAACAATCTCTGCCAGCTGCAGTAAATGTAGTCTCCAAATAATAAGAGGTGCACTCATCTGTGTATCTCCTTTGATCCGCATTAGTGATATTTTCAGCACCAGAACAGTGAAGCAAAGAAAGATTCCTGAGTTTGTTAGTAATTTTATTTATTAGGTGCATCTAACCTGTTCTATTTTTCTCTGAAATGAGATCAAATCAGTGCTTCTATGGGTTGTCTCCAATCTGCACTGGAAACTTTTACTTTATTTAGAGACTTGTTGCAGAAAATATTCAGAATGCGCAGTTTTTTGCTACCACAAGCGATCTCTGGTCCAGCCGCACATCAGAGCCGTATTTGAGCTTAACTATCCACTACATGAGCAACTGGGAGCTACATAGTATTTTGAACAAGTTAATGTTTGCACAATACGTTTGCAATTGACATGTTTGCACTTTAAATATGTTTACGATTTTAATTTATGTTAAGTTACTTGAAAAACGAGAAAAACTGATTTTTGTAATTGTTTCTCTCAGGGCTTTTATCATCTCTGGTGTTAGTTTAAAATATAAGTGTGTTAGCACTGTGTTGATTATCCCTAATGAATAAATGTTTATTTATTCAATGTTTCTCTTCTTTAATACGCAATTGAAGTTATGCTATTCATGGATAAAAAATCGTGATAAAATCGAAATCGTGATAAAATATTGGAAAAATCGTGATATTCTATTTTTGCCATATCGCCCAGCCCTAGTGTGTATTGCTCGTAAGCGTTCTATATTTACGTTTTAATCAGATCTGACATACGTTTGTGTGAAATAATTCCAAATCCTTCCTCTCGAGTGATGCTGCAAAGAAAAGAATGACAGTTAGCAAATTGTCTTGCTCTACCACGTGTGTGTGTGTTTTAGAAGACTTTTAACAGCCCGTCGCTCCCATTCTGTCCTCCCTCCTGCAGCCCCAGAGACCCTGATGCGAGCCCTGGAGCTGCTGAACTACCTGGCAGCGCTCAACAACGATGGCGACCTGACCCAACTGGGCTCCATGATGGCAGAGTTCCCCCTGGACCCCCAGCTTGCCAAGATGGTCATCGCCAGCTGCGATTTCAACTGTTCCAACGAAGTCCTCTCCATCACTGCCATGTTGTCAGGTAATGCCCGGGGCTGGCCCGCTGTGTGTGTGCCTGAGTTGCTGCTCCAGTTCCTCGTTACCAGACAGCTTGTTCCATATCTCCCAACCACACATGCGTCCATTTTTTTGTTAGCCGTTTCAGAGTAGAAATCTAAAAGAGCTGTTTTTGAGTTGATCTACATTGTAGTAGTAGAGTGTTGCTTTTTGTCTCAAATGCTTCAGATCAGAAAACACATTTAAATGTCAACGATAACCTGAGAATATACAAAAGAAAGTTCTCAGATGATGATTTAATTTATTTATAAAAAAAAGCTGTCCAAACCAGCATGGCCCTCCCTCATAAATTAACTGATTAATCACAATATTTGGAAACCTGAGTTCATTTTCCCTAAATGGAACCTGTCTGAAAACATAAAGTAGGCTTAAATACTTCAAAAAGCAACATATCATGCTCCATTTTTAAGAAATTAAAGCTCAAAAGAACCCAGAACAACATTTAAATCACTGCAAGCCTCACATGTGTAAAGTTAAGGTGAGAAATCAGTAAGGATGAGATGATCTGGGGTCGGGTCACGGAGGCAGCAGCCTAAGCAGAGAGGCCCAGACTTCCCTTTCCCCAGCCACTTGGGCCAACTCCTCCGGGGGACCCTAAAACGCTCCCGGGCCATCGGAGAAACAGTGCCTCTAGCGTGTCCCTGGTCTTTCTTTAGGTCTCTTCCTGGTTGGACGCGTCTGGAAAACCTCACCAGGGAGGTGTCCAAGAGACATCCTAACTAGATGCCACCTCAACTAGCTCCTCTTGATGTGGAGGAGCAGCGGGTCTACTCCGAACCCCTCCCAGATGACCACGCCTCTCACCCTATCTCTAACAGAGAGCCGGGCCTGCAGAGTAAATTTCCTACTGCTATAGTTGGTCTAGATGTCTGGGCCTGTGGCTGAATAAAAACATTATTATAAAGAAGGGTGGGACACTCTGATGACAGACCTACTTACCATTATTGTTATCACAAACACTTTATTATAGTTGGTACCAAATATATTACAATTAGTTGTTGGGTTAAGAGGGCATTACTTGTTCACTAGTTGGCTAGTGAATCAATAAATAAAATCATCACTGGAAAACTGCATTTTGAATATTTTCCCACAACACTACATGTTTATTTCTATTTAGAATACATGGCTGCAGAAATTAACTACAAGGCAAGTAGAGTATAAAGTCAGTGGAGTCAGCTGTTAGTGAGGAAGGGAAGGGAAAAAAATACATGTCAGTACAAAATGTATAGGTGTAGCTGGAGCAGGAGCAGCATGCTACGGCAGTAATTGCACTTTGGGCTTGCCAAAGCAGAATGCTGCTCATTGAGATGAATCTTGACGCCTTTGAAGGGAGTGTGAGGGTCTTTGAGAGCGGGTGGAAATGGATTTAACTAGCTGCCTGGACGTGGCGCGCACTTAAAGCAGGCGTTTCAGCATGGAAGGTTTTCGCTGAGTTTATTAAAGTAAGCAGCCGGAGCGCACCTGAGAACGGCGCCGCCGCAGCAACCGGCCACGAGGCTCGATAAACACAGCTTTTATCCATTAAAGGCACAATCAGCCGTGCCATTCGTTAAGCAACTCGGAGCGAGCAGGACCAGAGAGTGGGTGGATTTTTACTGTTTCCTCCCTTCCCTTCTCACAGACCCTCCTCTCCTTTTTCCTCTCCATCAACACTCTGTGCCTCTCTTGAGCTGAGGCCTTGTTTCTCTCTGTGGGATTTGTTTAACTTATCCCTGTGGGCGGCTGCGTTGGGGCCCATACCAACCTTGTCTAGTCCCACAGTGCTTCGTTCGACCCACGGAGGCCAAGAAGTTGGCGGATGAGGCCAAGACGCGCTTTGCCCATGTCGACGGGGATCACCTGACACTGCTCAATGTCTACCACGCCTTTAAACAAAGTGAGCCACCCTTTCACTCGTCGTTTGACTGAAATTTTTATCTGCTACCTTTAACCTTTAATTGTCCTCATCTCTCGCACAGACCACGATTCCACCCAGTGGTGCTACGATAACTTTGTCAACCATCGCTCGCTGATGTCGGCGGACAATGTACGGCAGCAGTTGTCGAGGATCATGGACCGCTTCAACCTGCCGAGAAGGAGCACTGATTTCAACAGCAGAGACTATTACATCAACATCCGTCGAGCGCTGGTCACTGGATTCTTCATGCAGGTGACTGACCTGTCTCTCTGGAGGGTTAGGGTTAGACCTAAGGCATGGTATACATGCTGAAAATCTCTTTATTATTGGTCTTCTGTTATTTTTCATATTAGAGTTATTGCATCAGCATTAGTCTACTCACTTGAGACATAAAAACAGTGTCTTTAAAGCCCACATAGGGCTTTTTGTTTAAACACATAGGGAGGAATCAGATTGATTTGTCTCTCGCTCAGGGAAACAAATGGTAGTTTGGTAAAAAGCCATTTTCAGGGCCACCTGAAACAAGCAACCTGACAAGTTGAATTACGGTGTTAATATTGAAATATTTGTCAACATTAACCTTTATCTCGAAGACAAATTTGCAGCCCGTGTTCAAGCATTTCACAGTGTTTGGTATCACGTCTTTGTTTGGAAAGTCCTTTATTGAGACTGATTGCCTTGTTTAATCACGAGAACCGCTGCAGCTCGGCCCCGTGTCTGCAGACGGAAGGGAAGACAATCAATCTGACGCGACTTAAACATCTGTCTGGATGACTACTTCTCATCAGAATATTAATTAATTCTTAGATTTTTCTAATAAAATATTAACTAAATTCAGTCATGCGCCATCATTGGGCGTGTTTTACTTATCCCAAGCTGTGTTTTTTTATTCTCATTCTCTGAGAGCAGGTCGCTCATCTGGAGCGGACAGGCCATTACCTGACGGTAAAGGACAACCAAGTCGTCCAGCTGCACCCGTCCACCGTGCTGGACCGCAAACCTGAGTGGGTGCTCTACAACGAGTTTGTGCTCACCTCCAAGAATTACATCCGCACATGTATAGACGTCAAACCAGAGTGGTACGTTGAGATCGCCACGTTACTGTCAGCGGGATTCTGATTACAGCTCTCTCTTTCGAGTTAAGCCAGGTGTAAATTGTGCAACTTTTTCAGTTTTTGTATTCGACTTCATCTCAAACTGTACGACTTTATCGCAGGGCACAGCTCACATTCTCACACTGTACTCACACTCGCACTGTGTCTCTGCACTCTACTCAGTGGTAGGATGTGACCCCAGACCCCCCTAGAGTACTTTAATACTCTCTTTTACCTCAGAGAAATCTCAACACCCACACTTTTAAACACTGTATGTGAACGGGTTATTCCAAATTGTTCAGAAACAAGAACATTGACCTTAAAACCAATCAAAACCCAAATACTGGCAGCGTGTAAATAATGTGAGGCCCCCCCCCCCAAAAAAAATTTTCAGTTAGATGAGAGGTCTATTGCCATAGAAGTGCAGATAAAGTCCTGCTACTTTTCTACCAGGACCCTTTTTATTTGATCTACTGGTATTTCCATTTATCCCACAGCAGAATGTTCTGAAACACATTTATAGATATGGACAAAACCTCTGTGCAAATTCAAAATCCTAAATTGTTGCTAGTTTTGGCCCTACATAGTTCTTTTTACCTTTTTTCATCATCAGTGTAAGGTGCTTGGAAAGTGTTTTGGTAAAGCTTTGAGATCCTGCCCTTTCTATTTTCTAATTCTTTATATAAATATGTATAACATTTACAGTGAAATGTGGAGACGAATCTTTATTGTGATGAAAATGACTTGGTCCTATTACACATCATTAGTTTCGCAGTTGAGGCCAGAATTATCATATCCTAGCAGGAAGTGCTAAAGCTAGCTGTTGCTAATTTCAACTACAAATAGTCTTAAACTTATATATAAACAATTATTTGCTCTGAAGATGACAGCAGGGTGAAGCTATATATAATATTTGCATAAACTGCTGTGTAAGAGTGCAGTAATCTAGTTTGGTTTGGGCCCTGCTCCGACTAGCTGTTAGCTCATCAATCTGGGAACAGGTTTTTCAGAGATTTACCTATTACAGGTAAGGTGGTTATTTTTCCTCAAATGCCTGCAGAAACCTACTTCAGAGGATCTGAACTCTCTACCCCGCCACACTGGTGGAGTTTAGGAGTGTTGAACGCAATCATCCTAACTGGAACAAACCTTGTTCCTCTCTTCTCCCGGTGACCTCGTACACTTATGTACCAAATTTGTTGTGCTTGCTCCTGCAGTCACCCTGTGAATATGGAAGAGCAGCGTTCTCTCACAAGTAAACACTGAAGACAGTTTTGTGACTTTTTACTTGTTTGTCTTTTCTAGGCTGGTGAAAATTGCCCCGCAGTACTACGAGATGAGTAACTTCCCCCAGTGTGAAGCAAAGCGACAGTTGGAGCGTATTATTGCAAAACTCTCATCCAAGGACTATACTCAGTACTGAGAAGGTCTGCGAGTGCCGCAGCGGCATCCTCATACACGTAGAAAGTGAACTCTCAACCCTTTTTTCATGTTGTCTCACTGCATGAAATGCATTTTTTACCTTTTACATTGTGCAGCTGTTTTTTAACACTAGCAATGGAAGGACAATACACTTCTGGTTTATCAATAACGTTTTGTGTCTGACTTCATGTAAATTTGAACATTCCCTTGTTTAACTGCCTCTCAAATCATGTTAATCTCCAGAGATTTGCTTCTGATCAGATGTAATTTGTACAGGATTTTTGACGCAGGTACTATGTGTCACAGAGAAGCTGAGATTGTCACATTACCCGTCAACTGTTCAGCTTAATAAAAACTGACTTTGTAATAAACGTTTTTCCTTCTGTCAGCATTTAAATTAAAAGTAATATCTGCACACAAACTTCTCACTCAACCCTCACACGCCAGCCGTGTTCACACCCCGACCTCAGAAATCTGGCTCGTTTTCCCGGCTCTTCAGGGAGGTTAAATCTTCTTACTGGGATATTGATAGCTTGAGAAACAAGTTTGGGTTTGGGAGTAAGAAGGGGTGGGGGTGGATGTTAATTACAAATGTTTCAGAACAAGATGAGTGTGTGAAATCCCTGCTGTGCCAGATCCTGTTCTGGCTGTGCTACTCAGTAGGAGTGTGTTTCTAATGTGGAAGCACGAGTTCTTCAGCGATGTCTAGGACTAAATAAATAACCAGAATAAAATGTGAGAGGGTAAACTTCAATGTTTGAAGTCAGATGCTGTATGGTTTACTATCACTCTGTAACACACCCCAACATGCTGTCAATCAACTATTGGTCCAGCGTCTGAATGGTGGTAGCCCATTCTTGCATGATCTATGCCTGGCGTTTGTCAAAATTGGAGGGGTTTTGTTATTCCACCTTCCTTTTAATGATTGACCACAAGTCTCGAAGGTATTAAGGTACAGAAAGTTTCTTTGACATGGGCCCTAAATTAACGCCCTTTTCCACAAGCATCTACTCATCTTAGCTGTACTCTACATGGTTAGGGTAGTTATTCATTAAAACTGAGTCATAGCGGTGTGGACCACAGTCTTCTAAAAGTAGTGCACGGTACCAAATGTACTCAGCACAAAAGTATTGTGAGGTGGCACACAAACGCTTCAGTGCAACAATGGAGGACAGCAACTAAGTTGAGCATTCTGCTGAGTGTGGCTTTTTGTCAAACTAAAATAAAAAAGACACCCAAAAAAAAAATAGCAAAGTTAAACACTCGGAGCAAACACTGACTCCACCTCCTACCCAATCAGTGGCCAACAACCATTTGACGTTGCGTTTACGGCCAGGCTCAGTAGGCTTGAAACCACATCAAAGCTGTTGTTCAATAAGGGCAGACAAATTGGTAACCGTCACTTGTGGAAAAGCCTTGGAACTGAGTCATGCAGCCCTGAATAGGTACTTTGGAGAAGGCTCATTGTATCTTTAGTTCTTTTGGTCAGTTATGTCTTTTGCCTTATGGCACAGTGCTCCACCACACTGGAGAAAACATTGTGGAAATGGGCGGTGCTAAATGGCACTTTGGGGTTGCTAAAGCAATGGCAAGATACGGCTTAGCTTAACTGTTGAAACAACCCCGCCACCCCTCTCGTGCCACATACCCCTTACACACGCTAAACATCTGTGAAGCAGGGAAATACTCCTGGCGATTCACATTTTTTTTAATCACCAAAATGTTGGATGGTCAGAGGAGTTCCACTGGGAAGATGTTTAGGTACCATTTTTTATTCATGGCAGTTAAGTGATTCCACTCCCTTAGCTGAGAAGCACACTCACACGGGAATGGTCTCAGCTGATACTTTACACTAACTGGACAGATGGAAATGCTCACTTTTTCTTCTCCGGACAATTCTTTATCCCCATTTTCTAAACCAAAAAGGGAATCATTAAATACAAGAATTACTCCAATCCTCAGTAGACCCATCCCTGTACTCCTTTCAAAGCATTTGTCGGTTTCTGGTGATTTTCTTGGAGAGAAGTGGCTTCTTTACTGCCCTTATTCACAACAACTGAACCAGTCCCTTTAAGAACGATCTGTTAAATGGTAGATTTAGGGGCTGGAAACCACGGCTAGCATGCAACTCGAAGACATCCTGAACTTCAGTCAAACTGCCATCCAAACATGGAGCTGCACATCTTGTGACAGTCACTGTGATTTGCCAAACATAAAGGTGTGACTAAAACCAGTCACATGCAAAGATGTTTTGGTATATTTTGATGTAGATTAATTACACTTTCAGTCTGCTTTTGAGTTACGAACAATACAAAAACATCTGTAATGCCTGGATTTCTAAGCCACTGTCTCTGGTTGAACAGCTTGGTCAACTAAGTTGTCTAATAAATTGACAGCACAATGAGAAATGCAGCAAGAGCATTATTTATATGTGCACTTTCAGAAATGTTATTTATCTTACAAATGCAGCTGGAACCATATGAAATATGTTCTCTGCTATTAGAACTTTGCATCAGTTGAAAGGGAACGTACCCAACACTGAACTAAGTTTAGAGGCAGGAATGAACATGTAAGCATTTTCACCATCTCTGTAGTGTCTGGATGTAGGCTGGAAGAGATACCAGACCTGCTAAGGGACTTTTATATTAAGTCTGCAGATTCTGTAATATGCTACGTCAGGAAATAACCAAGTGCGTCTCAATATGTTTGGACTGTTGGGAGACGAGTTCGTAAGTGGTTGGCCCTTTTTGCTCTGGAGATCAATGTAGAACCACAAAACGGTGCTGGATAGGAGGAGTCTTCCTCATGAACAAATAAAACAAAAAATCCAATAAAGAGGCCATTAGGTGGAGCTGATCTGGAAATTATAAGGGATTGATTCCGAGGTAAGAACAGATTGTTTATGCTCATTGTTTCCAGTTGATTCACATTGCCATAATTATGGAACACAATCATCTCCAAGTTGTTTTTTTGTGTTTACTGCAAGGAAATCCTCCTCTGTGTGCTCAGTCTACATAATTATGCATTCATGCTTACAAAGATAATAGAGGTTTGTAATTTGTATCATATGAGAGGCAGAATGATAAAAAAATAACCTCCAGAAAATCACATATTATGATTTTTAAAGCATGTTTTTGTTTAATGGTGCAGAAATTACAGTGGGACGCAAATGTTTGGTCAGCCTGGCAAATTTTCAGGATTTTCCTGTTTAAATTGTTGGTTGTTATGATAAAAGTTTCAGTTCAGGTGCATACATTTGGGCACTGTTGTCCTTTTATTGATTCCAAAACCTTTACAACTAATTGCTGGAAAAAAGAATTTAACTCAATATTTATTCGATCCTCCTTTTGCAGAAATAGGAAATCCAATGAGAGTCTGGATTCTGGTTGGAGGTATTTTGAAACATTCTTCTTTACAAATCATCTCTAGTTCATTCAAGTCTGATGGCTCCTGAACATGGAGTCCCACCACAGATTTTCAATAATATTCAGGTCTGGGGACTGAGAATGCCATTCCAGAACGTTCTACTTGTTCCTCTGCATGAACGCCTTAGTAGATGTTTAACAGTGTTTAGGGTCGTTGTCTTGTTGAAAGATCCAGCCCTGGTGCAGCTTCAGCTTTGTCACTGATTCCTGGACATTGGTCTCCAGAATCTGCTGATACTGAGAGGAATCCATGCGTCCCTCAACTTTAACAAGATTCCCAGTCCCTGCACTGGCCACACACCCCACAGCATGATGGAACCGCCACCATGTTTTAGCAGATATTTTTCTTGATTACTGTGTTCTTTTTCCTCCATGCATAATGCTCCTTGTTATGCCCAAATAACTCAAGTTCTAGTTTCATCAGTCCACAGCACCTTATTCCAACATGAAGCTGGCTTGTCCAAATGTGCTTTAGCATAACTCAAGCAGCTCTTTTTGTGCTGTGGGCGGAGGAAAAGCTTCCTCTGCATTATCCTCACGTGCAGCATCTCCTTGTGTAAAGTGGGCTGAATAGTTGAACGATGCACAGTGACTCCATCTGCAGCGAGATGATGTTGTAGGTCTTTGGTGCTGGTCTGGGGGTTGACTCTGACTGTTCTCACCAGTCTTCATTTCTGTTTATCTGAGATTTTTCTTGGTCTGCCATTTGGAGCCTTAACTTGAACTGTGCCTGTGGTCTTCCATCTCCTCAATATGTTCCTAACTATGGAAACCAACAGCTGAACTCTCTGAGACAGCTTTCTGTATCCTTTCTTCAAACCACGATGAACAATCTTTGTTGTTAGCTCATGTGAGAGTTATTCTGAGACCCCCATGTTGCTACTCTTCAGAGAATGTTCAAAGAGAAGGGAAACTTACAACTGGCCCCCTTAAGTACTCTCTCATAACTGGATTCACCTGTGTAGGGAGGTCAAGGGTCACTGAGATTACCAAACGAATTTTAAATTCCAATAATTGGTTCTAAAGGTTTTGGAATCAATAAAATGCCCAGATTTTTGCACCTGTCTAATTTTGTTTAAACAATTACTGCACAGTTTCTGTAAATCCTATAAACTTTGTTTCACTTCTCAAATAGCTAGCCTAATTCCATTTGTTGTAACTTCCTTGGTAGTAACTACCTACTTGCTTTAAGTAGCTAGCTCACACTTTTGTTATTAGCAAGCTTTGAGACAAAATGCCTGAAGATTGACTTTAATTGATTCAGTTATTCGACACTGGCTCATTCCTTGAGTTGTAGGTCCTTTCTTGTACGAATGATTCAGAAGTCAAAGATTGTAGCTTAAGAAACATTACTTCCAAAATGGACAAGTACCTTTTCGAAAACCTGAGAAAATATTTTTGAAGAACATTTTAAAAGATTACAAAAAAGTTTGCTCCTTGGAAGTAAAACACAAAGACAAACGGCTAACTCTTTGCCCAACACTGCGCGAAAAGCTGAAAAAGCTGTTTTGAACCAAGTTTGTGAAGCACTGATTACTCTGCATCTTTTACCCTGCAGCTTTTTTCCATCCACACATCCATTCTAGCCTGTAGATAGGCAACATTTTCCGTGACATTTTGACAGTTACTCACCAAAAGTAGCAAACACAAACAAAAAGCCTGCAAGTATTGTTCAGCGCCGTTCCAAACAGTGTGAATCACCGGCTCGCTAAAGCTCAATCTCCTACCACCCACAGAGTCTTGGATGGCGCCTCATCATCATTTGAGACTGGGGGGTAGAGAAGTTTATTGCACAACACCTCAGCATTTCAGGAAATCCACCCACCCAGCCCATGTCCTCCTCCCATCCCACGCTGGTCCTCTTCCTCCTCCTCCTGCCTCCCCTTCGGCAGCAAGGAGACAGGTGTCTTATCTCCATCGCGCAGCACAAGCACAGCCAATCTTCC